TACAATATACATGGTTGGTGAATTTGATGTTAAGTAATGTTGATCACTATTTCGAATTGAACTTTACCAAAATACATTTTTATATTTAAATTAATAGTTTTAGATTATTCAGAAATAGTTGATTATCAGTCTCAAAGTCATATTTCTTAAAATAAATTTTTAATAAAAATTCATGGTTAAAAATGAGTGCTTACATCATACTCATACATGAAGGGAATGTGAATAGTATTTATTTATTAATTTTCATCAAATAAATAGCTATCTCAAATACTAAAAAATGTTTACCTTACAGACGTTACTAAAATCTATTAATGTTTAAGACTTGAATGATAAGAAATATCAGATGGTAATATTGTAACATCTAAATTATCATATTTAATTTAAAATGTATTATTCACCAAAAGTTCAAAAAAGACGATGATCAAATAATCATAAAAAAATTGTAGATACAATTAAATGTAAATTTTATCGATCAATAGTGTGGGTTAAATAGTGGAATATAATAATTTAGGTTAGATAGGTCAAAAATATAATTTTATTTATTAATATTTTTTTTTAAGCAAATAACAAAGCTCAATTGTTTATTGTTATTACCATAATTTTTTTTTTAGAACAAAATATAATGTTAATTAAAATCTCATTAAATTCATAATAGATACTTATGCGTTAGTACAAAATTATACATATAAAGTAATGTTTTTAAGTTAAAATATTTTAATATTAGTAATCAGAATCAGAATCGTCAAGAGCAGCTCTTCTTCGATCAAACTGAAAAATACAAATTTAAAGCAAATAAATAAACATAATTATGTTAATTAGTATTGTATAATTAATTGTCAGACTATTTATGGATTTTTTAATTTACTTTGACTGTAGTTTTGCGTTCTTGAGATTGCATTTGACTGTTGACTTGTTCTAATAAACCGATCAGTTCATCTTCTCCCAATTTATTAACAATCTGTCCAGATTGTGCCATTCTGAGTAACATGTTTTCTACCATACGGCCTTTTTCCGGTTTACCAATCATCAATGTGTTCACTGTATTAACAAAACTCACATTGATATCCTTATTATAACTTAAAATACTAAAACCTTACGTCTTGCTCGAGCAGCTTGGTTTAATACTTGGGTAAGTATTGAATGTTTCATATCTTCAACCGCCTGACGTTGTTGTTCTGCTTGCTTTTGCTTTTCGGCATTATCACCTTGTGACTAAACAAAAACAAACATCCCATTAGTACAAATGTGTAATAATTATAAAAACGAGACATACATAATAATCTATTATTTAATATAGTTCTAATATATCACTTACTCCGCCAAGTTCTGACTGCATTTGGGCCATTCTTTTTGATCGCAGGTTTTCCAGTTCTGAATCTTCCATCTTAGCTGTTGGGTTTCTGGTGATAGATGAACGTCCAACAGCAGCAATCGTGTTCAATTGAACACTTATATCCAAGAGAATTCAAATTTTACCTTTTCGAGGTCAGTCGATTTGACTGAAAATATAAAAATTTGTCTAATTTGTGAATAAGCATTTGCACGTAAGTCGCGTCGGGTAAAAAGTTTTAATGTAACGAAAATTATACGTCTGAATTATGAATGTGTACAGCGTACAGGTCGAATTTCGAGGTTTGAAAGACGAAATTAAAATGTAAACACGAGGAATGATAACGGTTATCGTGCCAAAGATACAGCGTTGCCAATGTAACCACAAAATATTAAAATCATAGAAAACTTCATTACCTTGTTGAGTTGCGTCATAAAATCGTTTTCGTATTATAATTAAAAAAATAAATAAAATCTATAGACAAGAACCATGAACCACTTTTATAGTATTTTATAGTATTAGGAAGTTGTATTTATATTTTTTATACCTACGTTGATAATATAAGTAGACGGGGACTTCAGTACTTTATACGGTAAATTGCGGCTATCAGGGGCAGCGAGCTTCTCATATAAACAATAATTAGAGACATTCCTGCTTACAGCTGTAAAAAAAAAATATACCGGATAATATTGGTAATAAAGATATTATTAATTTTATTAAAATAAAAGTGATTTGTTAGACACAAAAAAAAAAACTATGTATATATATTTTTAAATTTAATATTGTATGATACATTTTGTTTTAGTTAAGTGAAAAATATGAGCTAATATTTATTTTTATAGTAGGTAACTATTTACTAATTTGTGGACAACACGTTCTATAAAACTTCAAAATAAGCATGCATTTTTACCATCAAAAAACTTAATTTTAGGACCATTCGTTTTACCGGACCATGACGATTTTTTTCATAGCCCACCACTCAGTGATGGCATAAGGAGGAACAATAGGGGCAATTGCCCTGAGCCCCGTGCTTTAAAATTTTGATTTAGACTCCGTGGATAGTGGTTTAAAGACTCTGCAGTATAGGTAGTGATTTATTTTGCCAACTCTAGTGCCGTTGTCCTTGCTGCCATTGTATATTTATAATTATAACTATATAGGAAAAGCACATAACATTAATGTATACCTAGATATTAGATAGTAGGTACCAATCGTTATTTAAGTGATTATTTGTATTTTTACTTTTTAAAAGTAAAATTATTAGTTACCTACCTAATACTTACTCATTATAACCAAATTTAGCAAGTAACTTACCTATACGGCTATACATAGTTATATTAATAAATTATAAAATATTAGACGTGAGAAAATATAGATCAGATGACATTAGTGGCATTAGATACTTACATAGTTAAATGCAATGATATCATTTATTGTCAAATTCAAATTTAACACGTCCATTTCCATGGTTTGTGACTAACTACTCTATGACAAGTTATACACATTTAGATACATTCGAAACTTATTATGCGGTACTGCAGTAGGCTGCAAAGCAACTTCGCCGGTTTTTTATAAATTGCACTGTATTTTATTTTTGTTTACAAAGGAAATAGTGCAAATTACTATTGCCTATATGGATGAAAATATTATAAATTCTTAAGTTACAACCATAATAATATATTATAGTTAATTTTATACAAATCATTAAAGTATTACAAAAATGTAAATTAAGTACATGTAAATTTTTCGCATACATACATAAATATACTTATACATATAGGTTTACATCTAAAGTATCTATTTATGATTAGTTCATTAAATGGTGAATGAGTATAAGTTTCCATATTTATTCTACTAATTATTTTACAATATATTTTGGTAAGTGTATGTGATTAATTAACAATCAGCAATACATTAATTTTGATATGGATACTATATGAGGTATGGCAATTAAATTTAAATAATCAGAATGGTGCTGCTATCGATAAACAGCAAGTGCGTCATAGCAAGTTTGAATATGTTTGTAGACACAGTAAAAAATGTACGTTAATCATTTTTGCTATATTTAATCATTCGTTAAGTTTGCGCTAGTGTATCGTCGGAAAAAATGCAGTGTTTAAAATAAAGTAACGAGTTGACCTTAAGTTTTTTGTAAAACTGGGGAAAACTGCTACAAAAACTCAAGCTATGTTAAAGAAAGTGCATGAAAATGAATGTTTATCACATAAACAAATATTCGTGTGGATTGAAAAGTTTATAAGGAAGGCCGTAAAATGACCGAAGACGATTCACGACATAGATAACCCTAAATATCAAAAAATGACAATAACATCCAGACAATTTGTTAATTGATCCGTGAAAATCGTCTTTCGAGTTTTTCCTTAAATCTCAGCAATTAAAAAAGATAGTTCTGTCAGATTTTTACTTGAATTGTTCAATATGCATAAAGTTTGCTAAAAAATAGTGCCAAAACTACTCACTATAGAGCAAAAAAATCGAAAAAAAGTATTTAATATGGTGTCACCATATTTGACTAATGACTATACTCACCTTATCTAGCTCTGTCTGACTTTTTTTTATTTCCTAAGGCTATAGCTAAGCTAAAGGAGACAAAAATAGAACAGTGTGGAAGTTAGTGAAAACAAAAGCGACTCAAGCTAATAGAAGCAAATTTCCAACGCTGCTTTGATCAATGAAAAATTCGTATAGAGGGCTGAAAGGAACAGTAAGAAAAATATTTTGAAGGGCGATTAGCTTTATAATTAATTAATGATTAATACAATGTTTTTTAGTACCAGTCCGTAATTATATTGCATAAAATGATGGGGTCAAAATTTATTCATAATTAATATTTGTTTTTTTTTTTTTGTCTTATGAGATTATGGGTTAGAAAAATAAAATTAAGTTGAATACATTAGTATACATTCATAATATATATATATTTATATAATAAATATAAGGTATAAGTGCATAACTTAAAAGTTATTTCTATTTCAATTAAAAATGGATCAATACAAACATTAAGTACCTAGATAATCAATAATTAGGAGTTAGATGTTGGGTAAACAAAAAATGTTTAACGATTTACATTACGTAAAAATTGATTATATAGAACTACTATATACTGAGTACAGATATCAGAGTGAAATATGTTTAAGACTCAAAATGCTTGGCCATTGATTGGGCTGGTTCAAAAGTATTTTTAACTGTTTAAATTTGTTTCCATTTTTATTTTTACGAACAACGAATTATTATAATTGATACATAAAAAAACTTAAAAAGTGTAATAAACAAATATAAATACATGTCCTAAAGTACCTAATGGGAATAAGCCGATACCTACATGTATGAAAATATATTTAAATGTATAAATTATACACATTCAATAAACAAAAATACTAATCAAATTTTAATAAAACATTGGTATTTAATCAATTTTATTGTTGACAATCGTTTGAATTAATTTTAATGACTAATGAGCTAGTGTCATTTGAATGAATATGCATTATTTATTTATAAGCATATTAAGCTGCAAATGCTAAATACTAATAACATTTTTGTTAAACTTAATATGTAAACGCAGCCTGCCAGTAACTATCGTTTATTCAGTTCAGCCAGTAATACATACATTATAAATGTACAAAGTTAATTCGTACATCAATGATGGATTCACTGTGAATATTATTTCGGACGTTTCAGTAGTTCGCGCGAATTATTTGTCGAGTTCTGTCTTCTGTAGTCTTCTGAACGACAAGCGATAAACTGTTAAAATGAAAAGTATCCGGAGTAAATTTAAAGGTAATAATTTTTATAACAGTAATTTACTATTAATAGGAATATTATAAACATAAATGTGTGTGACACAGCCTTTTTTTTTTATTGTTTATCATTGAAATAATTATATATTGCACTATAACTATAGAAATTAAATGCCTCAAATAAATTAAATTATATTAATTTTTTTCCGTTAATAAAAATAGTTTAAATAGCTAAGTAGATTGCTACCGAGGCTTTTCTAAAATATACATATAAATATAATAATAATGAAAAAACCAAGGAATCTACTCTCTGCTATGTAAGTTAAAGGTATAGATTTCAAGTTATTTTGCCATTGGTCTAAGTGTTGAAGTGGTAAGTAATAATAATAATAATTTTTGTTTAATTGTAATTCGATGACTTCATTTCAAAAACTATCACATTATATTGAAAATCATATTATATATACCTATAAAATGCTCATTAATACTTATTAATCATTTCAAGTCTTCTATACTAATATTATTTTCTAAACTACGATAAAAAAAATTATTTTATAAATTATAGATAGGTGTGTATTTCTCTCGTCAAACCGATGATTTTTGCAAGTTTTTTTTTTCAATTAAGAATAAGTATTTAAAAATATCTAGAATATTTTATTAATTTATTTTAGTTATATATAATACATATATTATAATAGGTATCTAGTACTTACTACTCAAGAAAAGTGTATTTTAAGGGAAGGGGATAGCCGCATTCATCTCAATCATTTAAATTTTTACAGTTAAAAAAATTTGTCAACAAAACTGTGTGGGTAAAAAAGTGATTTGGAATCCTACAGCAGATTTCAATATCATATTGATTGAGTATTATTTACTGAATATTTTAAAATTTATATAGACATACAAATTTGTATTCAATAAATGAGTACTTAAAAAAATAGTTTTGACCCCGATGAACACGGATTAAGTATTCTCTTGCTAGCTATGGAGCTAGGAGAATTGGGTCCGCGATAATTTGGGTTCGTTTTGAAAGCGTAAGTTGAGTCCCGGTTATAAAAAGGTAATAGGTAAATTGGGTCCCGGCTATAAATCATTGGTGCAATTAGGTCTAAAATATTAAAAACTTAAAACTTTAATATTTCATATTTATATAATTTACTTTTAAATAATTGTTACAATAATACGTCATATTGCATACAGTGTGGTACACTGTCTGGACATCAATTAATTCTACGCATGATGTTAATGTGTGTATAGACAGGTATATTGTAAAATTTGATGTACTATAATACTTAGCGTATTAACATTTTTTTCCCGGTACACAATTTTTTAACCATTTATACTATATAATATTATTTATTGAAAATATAATATTATAAAAACCACATACATTTTAATTTATATTTTTTTTCCGGGACTCAACTTATCTAATACCTTTTTTTATCCGGGACTCAACTTACCTACAACCTTTTTTTTCTGGGATTCAACTTACCTACAACCTTTTTTTTTCCGGGGCCCTATTTACCAATCCCGCTAGCTATGTATCTAAGTTTTAATATCATATAGGTACAACCGTGTTATTTAATTGTAACAATTATTGAGTTACAATTAACAAACAACTTTATAAATGTAGTTCAATTAAAAAAAAAAAAATATGAAATTATTCAAACATCATGGTAACACCAATTATCACAAATTATGATACGTACCTACATAATATATTAAATTCTTATTATTACGTACATAGCCATATCATACGTGTCAAATTGTCGATAATATACTGATTTACTGATTAATGTTAAATTTAAATATATAAAACACGTGTATTTAAATTATACAAAGAATAAAAATATGCATTCAATCACATTTTTATTTAGTTGATTTTTTTTTTTTTTTGTAGGTTTCAATAAACATTATACAACTTCAAAGCTGTTTCCCGAATTACCTCCGATTGACTTCAAACCTTTACCTTATAAAGTATAGTATTATCTTTATTTTTAAAAGTATAGGTTCGGTGAAGAAAATATAATATGCATTGTGTTTATACTCAAATTGGATTGATTACTTTTAATAAATCAATTGAACATAATATCTAATCGTAATGTTTGTAATCAACTTGTCTTGTTTATAGAATACGGAGAATAACAGTTATAATAGTTATTATAAGTTACTTAAAATGTATTCAAATTGTATTTACAAATTGATATTTTTTGTATAATTAATTATTTTCAATTAATGTTCAAAGATCACGAACTCATGAATGCAATAGCTATATTACAGAATCCATATATATTTTTTATTATTGTTCGTTATAACTAATAAATAAAATAATCAATGCAAATGGTTAAAAGGCTTCTCAAATCTCAACTTTTTCTAGAAATAAATGAATTTATGAAATAACTGTTTTGAATCAAACATGTAAGGTTTAAACCATAAAAGTAATGACATTTTTTTTTTCTCATAGAAAATAACTTATTAATAATTATAACTTACTTAATAATGTATATTGTATACACTTTAATCACTATAATAAAATACATAAATATATACATATTGCATATATACAATACATACAAATATTTAATAAAAAGATAAATTTTCTTATTTTTTATGGGAATCTTTAGTTTTATAAATATAATTGATTAGAATCGTGTTTTAGAAATGCAATATAGGGTTTTAAATATAAATATAAATTTTATGATACACTTTTATTTTCAGGGCCTTTCTTACGAAAAAGCGCAGTCTATGCAATTGAATAATGTGTTTCCTCAAGTACAGATGTATGAAGACCCTCTACTTTTACATGAAGGTAAAATGCAATGGCTGTTCGATTACAAGGGCAAACGGTACTTGGATATGTTTGGAGGCATAGCGACCGTTAGCGTAGGTCACTGTCATCCGTCAGTATAGCATATATAGAGGCATTTAGCTGTTCAAACAAATAATAAACGTAAAAGTCAAACATTAAAAACTGTTTTAAAATAAAATTTCAGAAAAGTTATTGATGCGATGACGAAGCAATCGAGTTTATTGGGTCATGTGTCCGGAGCGTATGAGCACCCAAAAATGTATGAGTACGTGGAATCACTAGTGTCAAAAATGCCAGGAGACTTAAAAGTAGGTTAGGTTAGGAAAAATAATAATTTATGACTGTTCAATAATAATGGTTCTATAAAATATTTAACTACCGGCTAAGTTCACGAGGTCATATTGTTATCTCGATGCACTTTTTGACCAAATATACCATTTGAAGTTTATCGAATCTCACATGAACAGATAGATAAGAGAAGGTACTAGGTAATATCATTGATTATAAATCAAATAAGTTTTATAAATTGTATTTATAAATAATAATCAACGGTAATATGTTTTTCATAACACTTTAAAATGTAGTTGTATATTACCAATTACTCAACATTATATACTATATTATTGTTGACTTAAACTGATTTTATTTTAATGCGAAATTCTGTCAGTTTTGATGGGTTTTTGAAATTATAATATGTGAATGGTGATTGGTAAGATATAAATACACAGTATGTCCAGAAAGTAAGTTCCGTTGGGCAATAAAAACATGTAAATGTGTAAATTTTATTATAAATTTTATTTGAATATAAAATACATGTATTACTCTATTATTCAACATACATTTTTTTATTTACATGAAAAAAAAAGATGAAAATCACTGAGTGCCAAATCTGGACTGTAGGGCGGATGATTAAATTGTTCCCATGCAAAATCTGCAAGAAGTTGTTTTGTCACATTTGCTGTGTGCGGGCGGGCATTGTCGTACATGGGAACAATTTAATCATCCGCCCTACAGTCCACCCAGTGATTTTCATCTTTTTTTACACATGAAATCATTTATGGGTGGCCAGAACTTCAACGAAGATGATGAGGTGAAAAAAGCTATTAGCGCATGGTTACAATCACAGGCGTCATCTTTCTATGATGAAGGGATACAAAAACTATAGTACCTCGATATGATAAGTGCTTAAATAATGGTGGTAACTATGTTGAAAAATAGAGTAATACATGTATTTTATATTCAAATAAAATTTATAATAAAATTTACACATTTACATGTTTTTATTGCCCAACGGAACTTACTTTCTGGACATACCTCGTATTTTGATAATATGAAATTTAAACAACTTGACAATTCTATAATGACTTACGGGTATATAGTATTTAAAATAAACTATCTATACGTTATTATTATTCATATTCTAAAATATATTGTATAATTACCTATTACCATAGGCGCAATTTGGAGGGGGGCTTGGGTGTGCTTAGCACTCCCAATTTTGAAATTAGTATCCCCAAGTTATTTCATGTTAATTTAGATTTTATTATTAATATGTATCCATAACCTTAAAATAACACAATAAAAATAGATAGAAGAACATAAATACCCCCAGTTTTTTCATTGAAATTGCGCCCCTGCCCATTACACTCATGCATCAGTCGACATAAAATAGTCGTTACAAAATACATTTGAAAAATATTCTTTTTAAAACCGGTATATATATTGGGTGATGTTGAAGTCAGGAGAATGCAAGTCGTACTATAATTCATATATTATATTTATTATATTATATACGTACTATATATACATTTAAAACTTTCGACATTAAATCTAATATAATATATTGTTGTTCAAATATTACAGACTGTGTACTTGGTAAACAGCGGTTCCGAAGCCAATGAATTGGCGATGCTGCTGATTCGATTGCACACCGGAAATCAAAACGTGTTATCCATCCAGAACTGTTACCACGGTGTGTCTGGAAGTCTACATGGGCTGACGGGAAATGCGTCTATCAAGTTCAACAATATATCGGATGGTAGTTACATTCACCATGTGATGTGCCCGGATGTTTTCAAAGGGATCTGGGGCGGGAAAAAGTGCAGGGACTCTCCTGTGCAAACACAGCGGTCTTGCGAATGCGACCGGAATCGTTGCAGTGCAGCCGACAATTACTATGAACAGCTGGAGAACATTTTCTCATATTCGATACCCCGTGGCAAGGTGGCTGGGTTTTTCGCAGAGTCCATCCAGGTTTGACCTATAATAATACAATCATTAACTTATTTCTGAAACAAGTTATACTTGTACAACAAATACAAACAAAATTCTGAGTGAATGAATACAGCAATTTATACCATTTTAACATTTAAAAATATATAGAGTATATTGCAATATTTTGTCTATGATCTAAAATCTAAATATTATAAATTTAAATAGGATAATTAAATTAATGTTTATTTAATAAAAATATAAGTTAGAAAAAAATTCATAGTGTGTAGCGTGAAGATGCTATGAACTCTACAGCTATGAGCTATGATAGTGGTCTCCAACCGGTGGTCCACACTCCACAGTAAAAATTTGGTAGTCCGCAGAAAAATGTTAACTTTATTTGTAATGCTGTGTAATGTGTTTATAACTGTAATATATAAAATTATTGTATAATGTCACCGTATGTGAGTTGAATTTACGACGAATAAAAATAAACGTGTAATAATATTGTCATTATTATCGCATGTTATAAAATAAATAGACTTACCTAATAATTTATATCGTATAATATAATATATAATATCATATTGTGTAATATTGTAGGTACGTGTGTCGTTAATACGTTCTAAGAATACTAATGATTCGAATCCAGCTTTCATTTTAACTTTTATTATTTTTTTTTTTTTAATCAATAATAATCAAACTAACTTAAATAATTTTTCTATAAATAAAAAAAACCTTTTATTGATATTTTATAAAATATATTTTAATTTGGTATTTAAAAATTATGAGTATAAGTGGTCCGTAGAATTTAAAGTTATGAATTTAGTGATCCGTGAGGTCCAAAAGGTTGGCGACCACTGAACTATAGACTAGTACATCTTAAAATACTACACACCTTTACTGTGGCTTTCTTTAAGTATGGTATTTCATTTTTCTTAAACCAGAGATCTTATATTTTGGCCAATGACTTCGTTGTTGCTTCTTTTGGAAAGGTGTATGATTATTGAATCTTAATTTACTTTGTGAGCCATTTTAGTTAAGGTTTACTATTGTATTTGTTGGATAGGTAGAACTTGAATAGTACTAAGTATTTTTAATAAATTATTCATTAAAATATTTCTTTGTGTTACTACATGATGATGTTGATTTTGAGAGGATTTTGTAGGTGTTTAAGAATTATGCAATTAGGCGGATTCGGTTAAAATGTATCTGGTGGTCCGGAACAATGAATTGCATTGGTTTTCATTACATATGACAAATTAATACATCAAAAAGATACCAATTTATTCTTATCAATATTTAATTTTCAGCTGCAACATGTTGCGGTTGCGAGGAAAATAAATCGATTGGAATATTTTAAAAATACATTAGATATATATTTTTCACAGAATTCTTTCTTATGTATTCTCTTAGTGTCCTTAACAATAGTATGAAGTACATGAATTAAATGCACTTATTTTTGAAAATATTAGAGGATAATACATGTTAAGGATTTTTTTATAATTTGATTATTCATTAATATTTTATTATTTGATCTTATGCATATTAATACAAAGCAATATATTTTGTCACTTTTGTATGAATCACAATTTAAGTTCTGAAAATCGAAAGCCCATTTAAAATGTATTACTGATAAGTGATAATAATATATAAACATAGGTACTATAAATTATTAATTTTTCGATCAAAATAATATAGACGTATTAAATAAGTATTTATAGCAGAAAAACACAAAATGCACTTACATTTAAATTTTTCTGAGTTACAAACTAAGTCAAAATCCCACTGCAGTATTATTAATAGCAAAACCGTAATTTATTGCAGATAAATTGTTTATGTTGTGGACGTACAATCATTAAGATTTAGATATACGTAGATTATAGGTTTTAGTCTCCATACATGATTAATAGTAATTCGGACCAATTATTTTACAGGGTGTCGGCGGAATCGTCCAATTTCCTAAAGGTTATTTAAAAAGAGTCTACGAACTGATCAGGAGTAACGGAGGTCTATGCGTGGCCGATGAAGTACAAACGGGTTTTGGCAGGACTGGCGAACACTTCTGGAACTTCCAATCACATGGCGTCATTCCAGACATTGTGACAATGGCCAAAGGCATCGGGAACGGCTTTCCGATGGCCGCTGTCGTTACGACACCTGCAATCGCGCGATCGTTGAGTTCTGGTTTTCATTTCAATACGTTTGGTGGGAATCCCGTTTCGTGTGCCGTGGGTCTATCGGTGTTAGAGGTTAGCGAACTTAATACTTTCCTACTTACGAGATAGTATAATCTTTCATGCAATTTGCTACGTGTGTGAAGTTCTCTCCACTTATGTTCAATTTTCTCCAAAACTTCTTCATTATTTTTAAAATAATTAAGAAAAGATTTAAACATAAGTTGACTTATCATCAATAATCCCAATAATTTAAATTTTAGCTCTAGCATAACTCTTGAATTTGATTTTAAAATATAAAAAGGTCGGCAAGTGGGGACTACTCTGATATACAATTTGTGTAAAATTGATCACTATAACGAATATATCAAATTTGTGTCATATCGCATAGTATTAGAATTTTTAAACTTAAATCATAAAAATTGAAGATTTCATCATTTTTTTACTACAAAATACTTACTAGTACATTTTTGTAATTTTTATGAATTTTATAAAAAAAATTAGCTTAAAACATACTTAAAAAATTATATATATGAATTTTTAATATTTATATACAAATTTAAGAACAACTTACATAGTATTGAGGTATCGTCATTTAAAGAAAAAAAAAATTAAAATATTATTAAATGGCACAAAAAGTCAGTATTAGATGTTTAAATCTAAAGCCACTTAAGCGTAGCTTATAAGTTATAGATAATATTAATGAATAGATTATAAGTGCGTTTATTAATATGCAATTTGTCTATTTATATTTTATAATTAATGATAATTTGTCATCATGTTGACTCTGCAAAAGCCCTTATAGTTAATTATTATTATTACAAGGTACATCGTATATTATTTCAATATTTCATATGTATAGTTCGTAATATATTTCAAATTTAAGCGGGGTCATTGAGAAATGGGAGGTTTAAAAAATAATATTTATTATTATATATTATATTTATTTATATATTTAACAAATACAATATAATACGTACCTGTTGTACCTATTTACATTATAACTGCTGCAGGTAATCGACGAAGAAGGTTTGCAACAAAATTGTTTGGATGTGGGCACATATTTCCTTGAAAAGTTGTGCGGCATGAGACGTGAATGGAAAATAATCGGTGATGTACGAGGTAAAGGACTGATGATCGGAGTTGAGTTAATAGACGGCGATCAAGATGATAGCGATACAGGAAAAATACATCCTCTAAACGCCCGAGCTATTTCTCGTATTAAAAACGATTGTTTAAAAATGGGACTTTTGATAGGAATTGGAGGAGTTAGATCAAACGTAAGTACATATATTACGTTAAATTAGTTACTATAAAAAGTCTAAAATATATTTTAGAAATAACCAATATTTTTCTTCTTCTCTATCAATTCTATCTGGTATCTTGTTCTCAATGTTTTTAAAATAAGAAAATAGTCGCACAAAACAAAATTTAAACTAACTAGTATTAGAAATTTCAATAGGTTAGGACTATAAATATTTTATTTACTTATACAATAAATTATAATGTTTTAATGTTTTAAATGCTAGGATATGATAATATTATGTTAAATATTTAAAATAAATTAAAATATAACATAGTTGAGAAAACAGCTTATAATTTAAATTCTTCATGTACCATTATACAAATATCAATAATAAATAAAATAATGACAATTTTTAACTCGTACATAACAATTACCTATATATTAATGATTTAAATACGTAAACAATGTTAAAATTACAAATGCTTCAGTTTTTAAAAATGTATATATAATTATGTCAAAATGATTACAGGTACTGCGGTTTATGCCTCCTATGTGTGTAACGAAATCTGACGTGGACTTTGCGATTGCAGTTTTGAGACGAGCTATGCAAAATTATTACGAAGCTAAATATTCTAATAATCTTTAAACACATTTTTATTTATATAAAACCAAAATGAATTTAAATATATTGTACCTACTTATAATTAAATTCTTAACATGTTTACAAAAATTGTTTACCTTTTTATTAAAATATATTGCTTTATAATAATTATATTATAATAGTTGTATTTTAATACCTACATAATATTTATAGGTGTATATAATTATAAAATTGTTTGTACAATGTAAAAAGATACAAAAATAATATTGCATGGCATACTTTAAACCTGCTTATATGAATTAAAAAAATAAATAAAAAAATATTAATACTCTAAATTACACATATATTTTTTGAAAAAAAAAATTTTTTTATTATTCTAAAATACACCCTCCTTCATGGAGATAACACCATTCTGGCGTCACCGTATCTGCTTTAAGGCCGAGTGATACCAATCTTTCACGATGTTGTAAAAATCTACAATTATGTAATTAAATAAATAGTAATTAATAAATATTTATAACTATATTATAAGAAAAGAACGAGTTTAATAATACAAAAAAATTGTGTTAATGAAAAAATCTAATTATTGTATGTACAAAGTAGGACACCAAGATATGTTAACATGGAATATACAAGTATTTTGTAGATTGTTTTCTTCAACATTAAAACTTCTTATACCTAGTTCAAGTAATTTTCAAACGCGCTTTAATAAAATATAAATACGTAGATTTAAAAAATTTGAACCATATTATTCGAGATTGGAGTCAGGAGATTAGGTTTATCATAAAACCTAAACACAATTCGCCTGATAGAAGTGTATCATAAACGGCGAAGTAAAACTTTGTATTATAAAATTCCTATACATAACTGTACGATTACAATACAATACCGACAAAGATGGTTTTGGTGGCAATACCAACAGGATTCAGAAATAATTTAAAATTAAATGGGTCGCGAATCGCGGTAAATGTAATTACGTGAAGGTAGTGAACTTGGCAGGATTTAAAAATGTTTTTAAGTGTACCTGTACTCAGCAGATGCAGCATTTGTTGTTGGGTTTGACCACAGTCGCTCAGCTAAAGCTGCAGCTCGTGGCCATACTTTAGAATCAACAGCATTATCATCGACAAATTCAGACCACATACATGTCTAAATAAAAAAATAAAAATAAATATATAACGTAATATATTTTAAAGTTGTAATTTAAAAAAATACTGATTAAATTTGATATTTGTTAAGTCTTACTTCTGCGCCTAATATAAGATTTGGATTATCAACTTTTGGCATTTTATTGTTGTACATCAGTTTCCAATTATGATAGTTAGTAGAACCCCAAAAACCGTGATCCAAATAGTAAACGTCCTTTAAAGCGATAATAACTTTATAGCCTAATTTAACGAGTTGTATTGGAATATTTGATCCTTCCCAAGCTTCAACAGTAAACCTTTTTTTGTCGAGATACTTCTCTATGATTTCAGGTTCAGTCAAACCACTAGACCAAACGATTATATCGGATTGATCATTTCCAGCTTCTTTATCGTATTCATTTAACGAATAAGCATGGAATTGAGACCACAAATCAAAATATCCTTCTTCGTCTAAGCTTCGGTTGTTCTTTTTCATCCAATCAATGATTTCAGTAGTAGTATTCCAGCAATTTAGTGCAACCTATGTACGATTATAACCAGTAAATTTTATTAAAATGTTTGAGAATCATTTGTACTTCATTTACCTCATCACCACCCATATGGAACGCTTCTCCTTTTGGTAGTACATTGATCAAGTCTTTATAAATTTTTCCCAACCATTTATATGTGTTAGTATTGATTGGATTAAGCTGTCCGCAAGGTGGTTCTACACAGTATTTTCTCCAAGGACCTTTACCCATACAAACAGCTAGGTCGCCATAACCTGAGGCTTTACCCCATTGCCAACCATTACCCGCGTGTGCCGGAGAATCGATCTCAATAATAATTCTTACTCCTCTGACTAATGCATATCTGAGAAGATCTTTAATTTCTTTGAATGTATACTTTTCGTCGGGACTATAAGCACCATATCTAAAGAGTAAAGACAAAAAAAATGTGAAACCTCAATAAACTTGTAGGATTTAAACACTAAAATTATTTATCAGAAATATGAATAATAAATTAAAGGTACACGTAATAAATTGTAATAATTAATGATATGTAGTTAAATACGTTATTTAATTCATTGATATATCATTCCTTATAGTGGATCGTCATTGTTGAATGTTACGAATACTTACTTCGACATTAATGGTGCACTAGGTAAGTCCAACGGGAAACTATGAGAATCGGTGGCGTGCCAATGAAATACATTTAGTTTGGAATGAGCCATAGCATCGATTTGTCGCTTAATAGCTGATATTGGGAAATAATGCCTGGCGGTATCCAGCATAAAACCACGGTATGCGTATATAGGTCGATCACTTATTTGAACATCGCTGGCCATCACCAATGTTTTTCCAGATTCGCTAGAACCGTATACAGCAACAAGTTGTCTTAAAGTTTCCAATCCATTTCTCGCTCCGTACACGGTCTTTGCTTCGATATTGACAAGTATACTATCTCCTAGAAATCAAATACCAGTATATAGTATCAAACAACTTCGATCTATCTGAAGTAAATAACTCCATACCATCGGTATTTATTTTCAAATTATAACTTTCGTTTGTAGTCAATTTGATATAATCAAATGGGTCGCTTGTAGATACATATATAATTGGAGTAGTTTCATAGGAAACACAATTTGGGACGCATAGTTTTTTCAATGACGATATAAAAACTTGAGACGCTTCAGACATGAATTCTTTGCTTAATTGGTCAGCCATATTCGATGTATCAAATTTAACATTATCAAGACCAAATTCGACTACAGATTTTCTAATGTGTATTATAAATTATAACAAATCAAAAAATTATAAAAAAATATATTTTTGCGTTTAAAAATTATTTAAATTTACCTTATTATTGTATTGACTGTTGGTTTGGGCCAAAGTGATCCATAACGTCCACAGGTTAAACGGCAAACGTCTATAGATCCATCGACTCCGCTGTTCTCTTTTTCTACTGATGATGATTTGCTGACGATACATGTATTGTTGATACATTTATATGATTTTCTAGAGACAATTTAATAAATAACTTTATTAAATAGTCATGATTGTTACTAATTTTCTATAATACTGAATGCTTTTCTTTTTTTTTTTTTTGTTATAAGCTATGAATTATTAAAATGTATGCAACAATTATTAATTAATTTATCCTCAAAAGTGTATCCCAATAAAAATTAATATTTACCTCTCCAAAATGTTTATAATAAATAAATTTGTTGATGATATTATCACACAATAATTTTTAATGACCTACTCTCCCTAAGTTCGTAAATTGTAAGTAGTGTTGATGGATGCTTCCTTCCCTCAAGTTTTCATGTTTAGTACAAATTGCAAACTTATTTACTTAATGTATTATTTTTTTAACAAAAATTATAAATTATTTTTATAAATATATATATATATATTATAATATGATTTTTTTTTAATACTGATAAAAATGTTTTTGTCATCAAAGTCCAACCAGCTACAACTACAACTGTTGTAAATTTAACATACATCAACTTGATAGAATAACTTTCTCTGTATTCTGTGTACGTATGTTAGCTATTTTACAACATTTTAATTTTTAATAAATTATGAATAATAAATATAGTATTTTACGATTTAAAAATAATCATAATATAATAAGGGTCTAAACCTATCCCATCTTATCCAGGTTATGCGTATGGTAGTTTTGTCTATAGTAGGAAATTGATGATGTAGATAATCACTGATAAAATTATCCGTACTTTAAATACAACATATAAAATTTTACATATTATATAACTTAACATATAATATCCTTTGGATTATCTAAATCTAAATTCTCAAAATTTATAAAACAGAATTATTATAGCTAATAATGCAATTTAATTTATAAATAATACTGAAATATAATTTATAAGATATTATTATCATTATATTGATTTATAACTATATGTATTACTCAAACTTTATGCAAACGATTATTAAAGTTATATATTTTTTTTTTATTAATAAATAAATCAAACCTTAAAAAAAGTTTAATTAAAAGTTTCATTTAATAATTTCATTAAACTAATATGATAGCTAAGTGGTATGGTACGGGGTATCCCAGCAAAAAAAAATGGTTTACTACTCTGCTCGCCAAAACTTTAAATACTTATACGGTCTTTATAACTCATAAAAACTATTCGACCAAAATTCGATTTTTATGTATCTGTATACTTTCAAAAAAGTATAGGTTTCCATTTGAATTTTTTATATTGACTTCAAAATCCTCCCTAAAATATTTAGAAAAAATTTAAATTACTGATCATTTTAAATATTTCTAAAATAAACTGTTTTACAAAATTTTTTTTTCTATTATAAATATTTCATATTTATTTGATAAAATAACTGTAACGAAAATTTTGAATCACACTGTACAAAATAAAAATTTATAGCTAAATATAAATTTTATTTTATAAACTTTGAAGTTAGTAATTTTTTACCAATTCTGTCTTATTCACCTATTATACATGTATATACATAAATATATTTTAAATTAATAAAAAGTAAAATTATAAATCACAATAGTTTAGGTATTTATAAATGCATGTCATGTATCTCATGTCAATAATAATAATAATTGTTATTTGTTAGTTTATAAAAACTATAAACATCCAGAATTGTTACCCGAGTATAAACTGAGTATTTATTTAATAAAAAAAGTCATGTTATGATTAAATTACGCATAACATTTTTTCAACATACACCAATGACGTTTGACGACAACTATGACTGAATACTTTTACAGATTTAGTAATTGAAATTTTTATTGTGTGTGCATTTAATTTCTACTCGTATATATAAATATAAGAAATAATTATAAAATTGTTAACGGAAACCAGATGTATATTTAAATCAGGATAGAGTAATTCAATACACCTATAATAGTACTAGTCATTAATATTGCAGTCAGTCATTGGACATCGAAATATTCATGTTTAGAAAAAGAACTC